TATTTTCTGTCTGTAGAGTAACATAGTGGTAACTTTGGACGGTTTAAATGCCTGATTTTCCACTCTCTCGTTTTTATTCATTCCTTGTATACACGATTAACCAACCCTGTACAAGAGGATGCAAATGAGGTTCGTGAACGTTTTCCATACTATTACCTGTAAACTGGGCTTCTGTATAAGTCGGGAAGAGGAAGAGAAGGCTAGTGGGTGCTGCCTGTCAACTCTATCTTTGCCTGTAACTGCCAAATCTTAATTTGTTCCTGTCAGTGAATGCAGTCGACCTTGATTCCATGCTTCAACAATATTATAACGCTGGAAAGGTGCTGTCAGGTTACAAAAACGACACCTCGAGCCAATGAAAAAGCATCAATGGAAAGCATCAACAGACATCCATGGAAGGGAACCTAGTGTATGACTACGCGGAAGGAATTTGAATACGTAGAAGTAAGTATAAGCTTTATTAGGAAATCTTCCAATACGCTGGGTGTCGGTGTTCAGCCTTGGTGTGTCAGTTTAGCACTAGTGGTTTCAGGCCTGAAGGAAGAATCAATTTCGGTCGCCATTCTTTGTTATCTTTCTCTCTCCCTGTTTCACGTGCATGTTGCTTTCTATTTTTTTTTTCATCTCTATCTCTGTCTTTTTTTCTATTTCTCTCCCTTTCGTGTTCTCACAGTCCATCTCTCCCTCTCCGCTGCTTTCTTTTTTTCTTTGGTACTTTTCTCTCTATTTGTGTCTTGCTCTACTGCTTCTGTGGCTTTTTCGCACCTGTTTCTTTATCTGTTCCTCTAGGTCTTCATCTTCCTACCAATTTTTGTCTTTGTTTTCATTATTTATACCCTTGTATCTCTTTCTCTTTTCCACTCCTTTTCACGTGTCGCACATCATCAAGCAGAGTTTTCGTATAGAAAGGTCTTGCAACACTAAGATGAAGCAAAAACTGAAAAAAAAACGTCGTTGCGTTTCACAGGTCACAGTTTGAACACAGACGCAATTTTCTTTTTCAATTAAAGATTGCGTCTTCATAGTATGAAAACTGCTACCATGACATGCTGTTAAGGCGAACGTGGCAAGTTTCTTTCATTGTTAATGACAAACAAAAAAAATGTACGAAGATTACCGAGAAGCTGGGGAAGATTATCAGCTGTTACTGCTCAGTCCAAGAGCCGTTTCTCGCTTTTGCTGGTAGTTGACGTGCTCAGAAGTTTTACATCGGTTGTGATGTTCGATAAGTACGAGCGTACTTGATTGAATAAGGTGTATTTTCTATCGCAAGCGACGATATGCTATAGTGCAGCGACTGTGTCAGAGTGTGCTAATTTGCATCTGTAAACCGATAGCTGGCACTACATAGCCGCTGGCTAAAACCAAATTGCACGTGCACAAAAGTATCTTATCGTGTTACTTTATGAAAGCCTACCGAACTACAAGCCTGTCCTTTCCTCTACGAGTCAGCAAAGTACCGGCAAGTGCGCCTGCAGCAGCTTTCAGTGGTGGCCTGGGCGTGCTGCACCTGAAAGCGCGTCGCGTCGATGCTCATCGCTTGTTGTGTGGACGCCTTACGCAAGAAGCAGAGGTTCATTCAGGTTAACCGATGAAAAGGATTTACTGTAGAGTCATTTTTACTCCTCTGAACCGCGTATCATCAAACCGAGAAGCGCCGTTAACGTGTATGACGAACTCGGCTGGTAAGCTATAGCTTACCGGACGGTCGAGTACAGCTGAACGAGTATGACAGTCAGCCAATGAAGGTCTATAGGCCTACGTTCACTAGGATTCCTACTGCTACGGGTGAGATTTGGTTGGACCGATCTCGCCGCAAGTGGCTAGGGAAGGTTGCAGTTCGAGCATTACAGAAGCCGTCACTGTTACATTAAAGTGTAGCCGAGGTAAGCAAAACTGTACGAATTGCCAGATACGCGTTTGCGTTGCGGTTTTGTCAATCGGCGAAGTTTTTCTGGCGTGCTAGCACGCACGCTCCATCGCAAGTCGGGTCGACCGCCGGATCGCAACGTTCGTAGATAATTTCTTCGCGAGAAATGCTAAAATATCATTCAAACAGTCTTTGTAAACGCCTAGTTACAACGCTCAGATTTGGGCATACAGCGAATCGAGCTTATATGACAGAATGCCACCTGATCAGTGGAATTGAATATTAATGAAACCGGTGTTGAATGCCATGCAGTTTTATAAGAAAAGGTTGACGTGCATACAGAGTCCCTAACGATAACCAGATGCTTAGAGGTGCTAGATGTATATTTGCTCTTCAAATACGTGTAATAGAGAGGTTGCGCCACGAGCACCAGACGCGGGCTAGACATGTAGAATATGAATACCTGTTGCTCTATGTAGGTTGTCCGTAGCGTGAGAGGTGTATGTTCAGAGTTGCTGTTTGCTGTGTTGTGTACAATTATAATGTGTGTACCGATGTCTGTCGTGTACATGTGACGGAAGCTTCAAACTCGTTAACTGTTTGTAGGAAATGCTCGACTATTTCTTTTGAAACGTTAGTTTTAGCAGCAAAGTGATTCTACTCTTGGAAAGAGTTCATGCACTCTAGCCCGAGCAGATTGTAAAACTCTGTGAGATAGTATCGTAACTCCTGCAGAGAGTATATGAACTCACTTACAAAACATGGTTGTATTCTGGCGAGGGAGCTTGTTCACTCTCGTTCAGCCAGTGTACTGGCATCTCTCGAGATAGTGTGCCTACTATATACAGCAGAGTATTCACATTACTACTGTACAGAGAGTTAAATATAGGACAAGCGTTTACACCCACAGGAAGAGCTGCCACAGCACTCTTTTGGGGCTGTGAGTGCGGATGAGGCCTTCTCAAGTACCGTACTCAAGCTCCAGTCATTGGCCGTCCAGAGAACCCTTGAAAGGGCACAGGGGTATGGCCTCATGATTCCGACATAGGATCAGCCAGTGGTGAGACGGAAGCCGGGGACTAGCTGATGGCCCCAACGGGTCCTCTCTGGCTATAATCCCTCCGAACTCCAATAAAGTTGTTTGCCTATCTGCTATACCTGTATACATTCGTAACACTCATCACCCAACTGAAACGTTCTAGATGGTTTATTTCACACTCTAGATGGTTTGTTACATACTCTAGATTGTTTATTGCAAGAACACTTGCAGAGCTTAAATAGAAGCGAAATTATTGCTACACATGCATCACAGTGTGAAGAAAAGTCAGATGTTCGTATATTTAGCCAGAACTGGAGATTGCCATATTTCCTTAGACTACCTGATTTAATACCGGTTTTTGTGGCTGAGATTCTGGCGATGGTACTCGACTTACGAAAGTTAAACACGGAAATCACATCGGCTGTTATAGTTATAGATTCTCCGTCTCTTTGCGCTGCACTTTCTGTCGGTGCTGACTCACACGTAACAAAGGTGCTTCGCGCGATAACACCCCCACATTGGAGAAAAGATATATTAGTTTGGGTACCGGGTCATAAAGGGCTGCTCTTAAACGACATGGACAATTCTTCAGCGAAGTCATCAATAAGTCGGCCAATTTCACTGCGCTTTCCACCATTCGCTTATTTAACGGCTCTACGATTTCACAGGCGTATCATTGTGGAACGCTTTGCAGGTACATCACTGACAAATTCCACAAAATATCAGCACCTACTATATTCTTGGGGTTGATAATTTTTTGACACGAACAAACTAGAAGTCGCAATTACGGGGCTGCGCTGTCGAGAGCCAAAACTAACTTTCTGCGAACACAGATCTTGTCAGGCTCTTTCTTCAATGTGTGCTTTCTGTGCAGAGCTAGAAACTATGTATCGTTTCTCTTTGACCTGTAGGCGATTTACTACACCTTGTAGATACTAGTTAGAAATACCGTAACGTGCTATTGGAACAGATTTATACATGCCGGTGATTCTGCCTTTTGGAGCCTCTACTGTTAGGTTTGCCAGTGCGAAAATTTGCGTGGCTGTGCGGATTTATCTCAATGAAATGAAAGAACTGACTAACAAATCTTTATTATTGTTCTTCTTTGTCGACATATGCATAACTTTTCTGATTTATTTATTTTTATTTTTAAGTTAGGTTTTTAATCTAAATTGTTATTTGTTGCTAATAAAGAGATTTATAATTGATTCATTTTGGTGATCATCGAAATCTTGTTCTAAAACTTGTAACATTTTAATTTAATAACCTCCATTACCTTGAAATTGAATAAGGTTTGATAAGACCACTCAATTATTGCGCAAATCCCCACAGTGGCTATGAGCCACATAAGAAGGTCAACAAGAACAAGGGCAATGCGGCCTCGTGGATCGAGCGTATATTTATTCTTAGGTTGTCACCGACTATAGTAGAGATCAACCATAACCAGAATTAACTCCGATTAGCAATAATTGAGCCAACTCAAGCCAACATTATCCAATGCTTACGAGTTTTGATACTATATGCTAATGAATACGGTACTTGGTGCCTCTGTTACAAGCTTGGTGTTATTGCCAGAAACATAGTACCACTGTGTCACGAGGTAGATAGATAGATAGATAGATAGATAGATAGATAGATAGACAGATAGATAGATAGATAGATAGATAGATAGATAGATAATTTGCAATGCTAGATCTAAATTTCGTCCTCACGATATATGCTGTCGGAAACTCTGGATTCTCGAACTAACCCTCAGCCAAAAATTATCGAGGTTTTCCTTCAACCTTCTCGATTGGGAACGTCGATGAGACAAAATTATCTTGCGCCACCACCTATTTGTTTCTGCGATTCGCTCAGCGAGTGTTAGGGCAATAAGCGCTCGTTATTCAGTGGCACAGGAAAAGCCCTCGCCCGGAGGGGCTGTCGGAGCACGCGACAACTTCGGAATCGAGCCGTCGGCGTCGTCTGCTTCAGATAGACGGCAGTTAACAAGGTCGCCAGCGATTACTGGAAGAAGGGGTGGGAGGCCTGAGAGGGGAAGGAGGGGGTTATTTCTAACTCGAGGCTGCCCAACTGCGATTGGGCGACGTCGCTGTGGTCAGATCGCCACAAGACCGGACATAAACAGCGTGATGACACGAGCCTGCCTTCAGTCTCGCGACTAGGCTGACGCAGGACGTTTAGGAAAGCAGGCGTGAGAGGAGTGAGCTTCACACCAACCATAGCGGTTTGCAGCCATTGTTGGTGAGAGTGACGAATCTGCAGACTTCTTCAGTCGCTACTTTAGACGAGCACCCACCAACAACACGCGAGGAACCTACACTTTATCTACACCGAACTGAAGAACCAGACATCCGGTCACCATGAACGGAGTCAACCACAGTGCTGAAACGGCCGGAGAGGTAGGACACGCTCACGTCTTGTCGCCGTTCTAGTAGCCTGTTTCCGTTATATACGTCCAGCAAGCTGGAACATACGATCATGGTCCTTACCAGTGAAGGAAGAGGGTGGAAAAAAAGAAAGGCAGGGAGATCAAACAGATGTGGGTCTGGTTTGCTACCGTACATTGGGACCAGGTATAAAAATATAGAGAGGGAAGAAAGCACTACCAGGGTACATGCGCCCTGGTCCATTACACGCCTACAATGTGACCTGGTCGGTTTTTAAAGCACTAATCCCGCCCGCATCGATTTACTCACCTGTGTCGTGTTGGGCCGTGGACTTAGAGTCGTGTGTATTGGAAACATTGTCACGTCTAGTTCGATTACCTGCAACGAGTACTGCCGTTGTCCGAGGGTCTCCTCTTTCGAAAACAACTTGTCCTCTAGTTTATTCCGTGCAGAACGATTAACTTCGCGTTTGCTCTCAAAGTGAATACAAACACGCAGCGGATGTTTTGCAATCACAGAGTAAAGTACACATACATATCAATTTTTCCCAAATTGATCGCTGTGTGGGAAAAAAGTGTGCAGAGCACCCAGCGACTGGATGAAAGCAAGGATTACCTCTATTCTGTGAAAAGGGTCACATTACGAAAAATAGCTTCCGGGAATTCTCGACATTCGAGCCAAAGTTTTAATGCGGAGTTATCTTCATCAGGGCAACCCTTGAAACTGCTGCATCACTTGCCGAAACGTCTTCTCCCGGGACATTATATCTAAGGCAATTTTTTTTCTCATTTCGAGGCTCCAGCATACTCGTAGCTGAAGCCTTGATGTCAATTTAAGAAAAAAGAAAATACTAACTGACATCACCCACGTAAAACATGGACGCACTAAAAAGCAGCGAAAACACGATTCAATTCAGTTGAATGAATTTGTTATTCTTGATGAAATATTTGCTGAAGTTCCGTATGGGCCAGTAATTGAAAGCTTAAACCCATACCTAATACATATGTAGCAGCAGCTGCAAAGTTCAGCAGTCATGTGTTTCCCGGTGTTAAAACCGAAAACAGTTGGGCAAATGCACCAGTGCAAAACAAAATAAATATACAATAGTACTTTATTAATTTTGCTGGACATTGTCAGGCTCACCTTTTTTTCTCAATATTGACCACACGAATTTGATCTGTCAATGTGGTATACACAGTGGTCGTCTTCACCTGACTATATCAGTTTAAATTTTGCGGCCTTGCGGATATATTGTCAGTTGGTACGATGTCTGCGGCTTATGTGCGTTTAGTATATATGCAGACAATAAGTTAGCTTTTTTGTCCACTTTTTTAAGGATTATAAACCAAATGGTGAGCAATTACCTTCCGTCTAAGTACTCTTCGCTCAAATCAGCACAACGGTCTGTTCTTCGCGGGGAATTGTTTACAAAGGGCCTTCGCACTTGTTATCTGGTTTTATGTGCCGTTGATAAGGCACTTGTCATTATTACCGCTATCGCGGTTGTTGTTGGCGCTTGTGCTGCCCTGACGAGTCTTGGCAGGCCCTAGACTGGAAGGGTGATTACTTTCGTAAATGCTTCCAGGTTCTGGAACGTGCCGTGCCCATATCGTGATTTCTCGACAGCGTCTTTAATAGAAAAAAAAAGAAATCATCAAAAATAATATTGTTTTGACTGCTCTCATGTCAACAGCAGCATCATTACCTGATAGAGAAAAAAAGTGAAAGACAATCCCCTTTATCTTACTTACGGATAGCATTTCACTAGTTTCACCTCAACAACAATCGTCGCCCATCAGTGTCGTTTTCTGGAGCACTTTTTTTATTCCACAGCTGGGGTTGGACATAAAATACCAAAACATGGCAGATAACGAAGAATCGAGGAAAAAAAAAAACTTAGTGAACGCTCAAGTTTCACTTTCAAGAGTTTTATGTGGTAGCGTAACCAGGCACGGTATGCATCGCCTTCTTAGGTGCTAGCCTAGTCGAACGTCTGTAGTGCTAACCTATGTGAACTTTCAAGTGCTAACGCACGTGAACCTCTGTATTTCGGGTTCCAAACCACGGAACAGAGTAATGAACAGAAAAAACGCGCAACATTGGTCAATTTGAAATTTCTTGGAATGCCTACAGCAAGTTTAATCGCGCGGTGGCAACTGCGCTATTTCGCAAACCCGGAACACGGACTCTGACGCGTAGAAGTACGGCAAGTACCAGCGTTGCTCATCCGTGGCCTTCTCAGACGACGACAAGGCGAAGGTCTCGTGACTGGCGAAGGCGATTCCTCTCAAGCGTTTTCTTGCGCCGTGGGTAGACGTCGATCTTGATACCAACCGCCTGGCAAGCGCAGAATGCCCTGACCGCAACATGTGCGGAAGCTTATCTGCTCTGCCGCAGATGGAGGTGCCCTTGAACTTAGTCCTAGTCTTGAACCGAGGAAGCTGTGGATATCTGCCTCCAAGCAGAGTAGATACGGCGACTGAGCGCTCCCCTTCTGGGCGCCTTCGTTTCGGAAGAGACAATAATTCTCACGGGACAGCGAAATTATGTGGACTCTCCGTCGAGACTCAATATGGTTGTATCGCATAAGATAGAGAGTGGTTGAAAGAGGTGCATAGTCGAAGCTAAAACTCCTTTGAGAGATGGTTGTTCAAGTGATGAGTAAGCGCAGAGATCTCTTGTAGTACGCATACAGTCTCGGAGCGCTAAGCGCTGTTTTCTGGCGTCGTCAACATGACGTCCGTGTCTCGAGCATTCGTCACAGTCTGTAAAGGCCCTAAAAACACCCACACGAGAGTTTTGCTTCGAGCCCTTACGAAGCCTGCATTTTCGTGATGTGTTCTTCATTCCCGTCGGCTGGTTTTTAGAAGGTATATTCATTCCGCTACCTTAGAATTCGACACTGTTCTCACTCTCAATTTGTTCTGTACAGCAGACATGGTGCATTCATGTATGAATCAGGTATATGGGAAACGGGCATGTGCCACGAAGTGTTTAAGACACTTCTCTTGGGCCGCACACAAGCTGAAACTGAGCGCCGCCAAGAACATTAATTTTGCAATACTCAGTAAAGGCCTTCGGGAGCGTGGACGGACTGCGATGATCGATTTGAGCCTGAACAAGAAACTTTGGACGATCCTGGAAGCAGGGGAAGCTGCCAGGAGACATGGTCGCTCTGTTGGCTCCCAGGTGGAAGCCCCGCCGAGCTTTGTGATGATGATGATGATGATGATGATAATGATGATGATGATGATGATAACCTCATATGAATGAGACTCACCGACAAAAAGGGATGGGCCAAGTACCGAGTGGCAGGATGCTTAAAGTGATGAAACTAGACCCAATATTAAAAATAAGTTTAAAGATAAAACAGAGAATTATTTCTGAGCGAGTGTTCGAACTATCTATGTTTCTTGGTTGAAATCACCACGAACTACAAACTAAGAGTTTAAACAAGTGGGAATAGACTAACAGGGTAATCTTTTTGTTACTTTGATGCAGTCAAACACACTAGAGCACACGTGTCTGTGGCTGTAAATTAATGAGGTGCCGCCAAGTGTTGAAGTTACTCCGAGATTCACTACAATTCCTAACTTCTGTAACGGGGCTTCTATAAATCTTCGTCTCCGATAAGAATAGCGACGACAGAATAAAAATAAACGTTGAAATGTTTCGGTTTCGGTGCAAAAATTGAAAACGCGGTGCCTTGAGTCCAACTTTTGTTAAACAATAAGTTAGTTCGGGAACGGTACAGCGCAATCTCGTATAAGTAACTTCTAACCGGTAAAATATACATAACTGTTTATTTCTGCAATGCCTTAAAAGCTCAAAATCTCTGAAATTATGCAATGATAATTTGCCTATTTCGCCCAGCAATCTGACTAAAATCGATAGTTTCCCTCTTTCTCTCGCTTATTTGCTTATTGTGATCATCATATGTGAATAGGGACACACGGGCTGACTTACAGTTATTGCAATAAGTCGCCATGCAACGTTCGCTTACGCATCTAAAACTCTAATGCTTCTAAAAGCTGCCATTTTCATTTTCAAACCACGGGATTAATACGTTTGTTCTGAACCCAGAAAGCAAGCCTCTGGCGTAAGAATGCGGGTGCGTGATCCTCACTTGCGCTCCAGATACGCGTTTCTCCAAAGCATGGGCGTGTGTTGCTTTTCAGTTTGAATTTCGCGCCGTGCAGGCGTGTCAGATATCGCAAGGCATCGTCACACTAATAAATCATGCACCCGCGACGCGTTTTCGTGACGCAAGCAAAGCAAAGCAGAAGAAAGAGTCAGACTAGTTGGTTCACGTTCATAATGGAACAGCGCAAATACGAAGCACGAAGAAAGGCCAGACAGTATGAGCTCTGAGAACTGGTTGATTTTTTTAATGGCTTCATGCTAATATACTGTTCTTTTCCTTTCTTTTTCTCTTTTCTGCCCCGCCGCGGTGGTCTAGTGGCTAAGGTACTCGGCTGCTGACCCGCAGGTCGCGGGTTCGAATCCCGGCTGCGGCGGCTGCATTTCCGATGGAGGCGGAAATGTTGTAGGCCCGTGTGCTCAGATTTGGGTGCACGTTAAAGAACCCCAGGTGGTCAAAATTTCCGGAGCCCTCCACTACGGCGTCTCTCATAATCATATGTGGTTTTGGGACGTTAAACCCCACATATCAATCAATCAATTTTTCTCTTTTCTTTTTCGCTGGAATACTGCAACCTGTTGTCAGTCTGCGGCGCATAGGTCGACAAACCCACTGATGAGTCGACTCATTCGGGATCACTCAGATTAAGATTGGGCCGTCAGTCGGAGTCCAATTGTACCGGGGTGAGTGATAGTTCGAATGATTCGAGTTGAAGAAAGTTTTCTTGAGCTTAAGCATGAGTGAGTCCGGCTCAGGAAGAATTTGCGAGTAATGGCCCGAGTTAGTCTGAAGCGCAATATACAAGCCTTGAGTGAGTCCAAGTGAGTTCCATTTACTTTTACTGGACTATGGTACTATCCACCCATCTTCA